TATTAGACTTTAAAAAATAACTTCTAATTTAAGTGAACTTAAAACAATCTTCATATAAACCCATTATAATAAATGTCATATTTTCCTGTGCCCTTCAGCAGAATACAGAAATTTAAATTGAAGTTATCAAACACTAAATTCTAAATTAGATATAGATGAATCCTTAAAGCTATAAAAGTTTTTTTTTTCTGTTTTTTTCTTTGTCCTTTGATTAATAGACATCACAGCAGCTGGTTATTTGGTTGTTTTGGATGCTATTTCTTTAAGAGCTGCCGCTGCTGAACGTGACGCGGATCTGACACGCATCATACTTTCTTTCAACTCTTTTTACCTTTTCTGACCCACATCAGGTCTTAAAGTCTCTAGATGAGTGCGTTAGATGAGTGAGACAGTGCTGGACTGCTCCAGGACAGCTTTGAAAACCATTTCAGAGACATGTTCTTAAATGTGACTCATATAAAATATATTACATGCATGCACAGTTTTAAGGCAGCTTTAATCGACTTTTTGGTAACTTCATGACTTAACTGACCACGACATTGCATGCACGTAGTTTATTTTGCGCCTTTGTGCATGCAATTGAAGAGCACGCGCTGCTGCGAGCACAGTACCGTTTCCGCACTCGCTTGACTCGCGCCTGACGCTGGAGTGAAGTGGAGCGCACGTCTGAAATGTCTCCCGTTCTCAGACATTCTGAGACTGAATAAATGCACTTCTTGTCAAGAGAAAAAGTGACAGAAGCAGCAGTTGTGAGTGGGGTGGCCAACCCTAGCCCCGCCCCTGCGGTTTGACCAGTGTGGCGCTGTAGCGCAAGACTGTAATTCAGCCCAATTCAAGAGAAGACAGCGCTTCAGAGCAAACGCAGCCAAACCGGAAGCTGCTGAGCTGTGTTTGGATGAATATGTCAATATATGCTGCGCTTTGCTCCCAATAACAAAATAAACACAACAAGACCTGACAGCGGTGAGAAAGCAGCAGTTAAGAACGCATCGGATTACAGCGATGTTGGTGTTTGCACGAGCTCTTCAGTTCGATACTCCAGTAAACGTCACGATTTTTTAAATAGACTAATGCTTTATGCAGTAGATAGCCTTAAATCAAGCAGCTTTATAGTATTAAACATGAAAAACCAGAGTCGGTGTCACTTTCAGTTAGAATTACAACTTGATTTTCTGTTATAACGCAGCTCTCCAGTGTGGAGCTACCTAATGATAAAATCGTTTTATTAGTGAGGAAAATCATTACTTCATGAAAGTGAAATAATCAACGATTAGTCGTTCTAATAATCGTTAGATTAATCAATTATCAAAATAATCGTCTGTTGCAGCCCTAATGCAATCAGCTTGAGGCACAGATGTGAAATGTGTTCCTTACCTATTTCCACATCTTCATCTCCATCTGCCTTAAAGATGTAAACTTTAATGACCTCCGAGCTGAACTCATCCTCTTTCGAGCCATCGTCGTCCTGGCCCACATCTGCGGTGATCTTTAAAGGTGCGTCTCCAATGTCTAGCTTTTCCCCAACCTCATCCACTGCAAAGAAGCCAAACATCAAACACTGATGTGGATCCAATTAATCCATCTACAGGGCTCGACAGTGCAAGCATTTCACTCGCATTTGTGACTAAAAATAGAGGTGTACGAACTGGAAAATGTATTTAGGAGCATGAGTGCAAATACAACAGCCTAACTTACACAGTAGCCTATAACAAACTTATTAATTTCTTCCAGTAATTTATGGAAAAACAGAGATACAGCCTCATATGATTATTGAACTTTAAAAAGGCAAGGATTTAATTTAAATGAGCAATTGCAATCAAAGATTGCAATCAACCTTTAAAAAGAAATGCAATTTATAAACTTCAGTGACGATGCGACACTGCCTCAATTGTGCAAGTGACAACTCCTGTGTCAACTGTGCAGCTCACTTATAGTGCAGACGCGATGTGATTTGAAGCCATTTGCGTATTTTGAGAGAAAGAAAGAGCGAGTGCGGTGATTCCTGCGTTTGTGAAATTATGTCTCACAGAAAGTTTTCAAATGACTTTATAAGTTAATGAAGAAATATGAATTGCACCTCATCTTCAGCATTATAATTATTTCACCCGCGCCGGACAGAGACTGAGACGGTGCCGCTGCATGTCGCGCCAAACCTCTCACGGCAGCGTCATCAGCTTGAGATCGGTTTATGAGATTGGCTTTATAGAGACCGCTGATCAATCATCCCCAAGTGATTATCGGCCGATAGTGATCTGTAGCCGATCAATTGGAGCACCCCTATTTATTTTTCAACTCAACCGTCACGGAATGGAACGCACAGGATTGTGGGATATCAAAGGCAGCGAAGGATACATCTATGCTGCCTTCAAAATTGGATCAGAAGAAGGTACCTCCGGAGACAGAAAGTAAAGCAGAATTTGGATTCGGACGTGCCTTGATGCCTTCCTGCCTTTAGAGCTTTCGGACGCAGCCCATGTACCGCGACAAAAGCCTCAACGACTATTGTGAAAATTTGATACCATCACATACCTAATGTCCATACAATTTAATAAGACTATAAATAATTACATAACTAGCCTATTAAAACAAATCTGAAGCAAAATTATTTAAAAACCTTGTGTACATTCTGTATTCTGATTAGGGATATGCCGGTATCAAATTTTCATGTTGCGATTAATTGCTAATGCTTTTATTACGGTATACGGTATTATCACGATATTGAAATTTAGTTTAAAAAAAAAGTGCTGTCATAATACAGTATAACAGGTTTAATAACATTTTTCTTATAACAAAAATAACTGAACATTTAGCAATAAAGCAATACAGAAAAATGTACAAAGTTAAAAGTTTTACACAGATTAAAGTGCAAAAGAACTATAAAGACCAATAGGTATCACTTTACAATAAGACCTCATTAGTTAACCTTAGTTAAAACATTAACATTCTCAATAAGCAATAGCTACATTTGCGCCATCTGCTGTCAGAGAGTGAAAGTGCGCTTTCCTCCAGAGCGTCTCTCACATGTTCCGCCATGTGCTTCTCGTCCGCGCTTGTTTACATCAGAGTGCGCACCGCACGTGTCTTTCACGCAGCATACAGCGGTGTTGTGCATTTTGACCAGTTGATGGGAAAAGTATTCTTAAAATGCATTCAAAATTCTGAATAATTTGTAATATATAATTATTCACGGTATTTAGAAGTGCCCACGATAACAATATCGTGCATATTCATTACCGTGATATATCGCATTACCGAATACCGGCACAAGTCTAATACTGATCAATTAAATAATTGTGCTTGTAAATGTCTCCTTATATCCCCTTATTAAGCTAAAACACATAATTTGAAAAATTTGCATTGCGCACCTTAATGTTTTTAATGCGCTGCTAAATTTTTCAACTGAAGAGCACATGTGCTTCTTGGGAAAATGGTAAGCGTCAAGCCCTGATCCATCAATCCACGTAACAGCAAACTCACAGGAAATCATGAGGTAGTCCTCCGAAGTGCTCTTCGCATCCTCCTCCTCCTCATCGATTGCTTTAATGGTGACGTCAGACGCCTGGATGACCGTCTCCGTGTCCGTCACCATGACCTCTGCGGACACCAGCTCGTGGTCCAGCGGGCTCTGATCGTGAGGAGACATGAGCTCAGCCACAAACACCTGATCGGGCACCGTCTCCTCGATCAGGTCAGCCGTGCCGCCCAGAGCCTCTTGGATGGCCACCTCGGCCCCCAGGATGGACTCGGACATGATCACGCCCTCGGTGGTGAGGACGTCCTCGTGACAGATGTCGGGCCCCTCCACCACCTCAGCCTCCAGCATGATGCCCTCATCCGACACCATCACGGCCTCCGGCACCGACACCACAATGTGCTCGCCGTCAATGTGGGCCAGGCCTCCCATCCCTGCAACTGCACAGAGGAACATCACAATACATATGTCTGGATGTACGGTCAAACCAAAATATATTCAGACACCAGATATCATTTTTGATATTTTATTGTACTAGTGGGTGCAGGACACTATAGTTCATTTATCTAAGTGAGGATAGCAAAATAAAGTAAACTGTGACATGATATTTTTAATGAAACATGAAAGGTTTCTGTTTCTCTATTGAAGGTAAAGGTAACCAAAACTTAAGTAACCCCAAAAAAATCATAAAGGTGCCTTAAAAAGAATCCATATAAACTGAGCAGTTTAAACCACGTCATGTGAAGAGACATGCTAGCTTTAGATGATGAACCGCTTTGGTTACATGGACATTAAATGGAGAGATAGAAACCTCTCAGGCAGAGAATCTGTGACTGCTCCACAATACTGTAAAATAAATAAAGGACTGCTGTGTGGTAAAAAATATTATTTTGATGTACATAAAATATAAAACACACCAAATGGCAGAAAATCCATCACAATGGATTAATATGAATACACTCAAACAATTCATTCATAATTAATCATCTCTTCACGTGAGAGTAAACGCTTGTATTGCTATTTAACAAACCTTCACATCTGACAGTAGTTCCCGTCACGTGAAAGCATCACAAACATGAAGCAAATCTGTGACTCTGGCATCTGGGAGGAGAGTGTCTGAAATAAACAAAAGAAAGAAATATTATGTTCATAATATTTTATGCAATTTAGAGACTACCTCGGGGAGATTTTAATGACAAATTCTTGTTTGTTTCCAAATATAAAATTTGGAATATCCTAAAACGTAGATCAATGCAAAATAAACTGTGGTTTATAAATGTTTACATATATGTGTGAGACTGTTTGTCATTTAGAAAGTTCATGTGACAATGAATTCTTACCATTATAACACTTTTATTAACATTATGTATGAATGCAGTAAAATAACAACTGAATTAATAACAGTAAGGCGGCTGGCCATAATTATATACGGTTAATACTACATTAGACTTTAGTAATAACAACTTGAGAAACATAATGCTGTGAGGGGATTTCCAACATGACGTCATATATCCCTATTTGGAAATAAGTTGAGTCCCTGAACAGACGAACGGTAACGTAATATTTAAAAATAATAATAATTGTAGAGTCTGAGAAAGTGTGTGAAATCGCTGTCAGTGCTTTTGATCAGGGCAGTGATTATGATGATAAACAAGTCAACGCATACCGGTGGCGAATTTACGATTCCTACTACGACGAAGGCTTGACTCATGAATATTAATTTAGTTACGTGCCCTTACGCACCACGCAACGTCTGAACGACTCTATTAATATTCATGAGACCAGCCTTCGCCATAGTAGGCTTCGCAATTGAGCATACCCGGTCCATTCGTGGCAGTTTCATCGAAACATCGACTCAATACAATTACAAACATACACAAAATACTATATTAGGATGTAAGATCCACTTTAATATACCAGAAGAAACCAGTTTATACGCAGTTAAAAGCTTGCGCGAATGCAGCCTCGTTACTGCGCCATCTTGCCCTCCGCCATTACACTACATGCTAAACGGCTAATAGCATTAGCTACCTAATATGGCGACACGTAAATGACCAAAACACAACCCGGAATACAACAAAAACGCGACGCCCAGATTTATTTTCTGTATTTACTTCGTACATGCTTGCTTTTTGCGCCAAAAGCGAGGCGCGTGGTGGCCGCAGTGACTAGTTTTGGCGCGAGCGCTGGGCGCTTCCTCGCGCTTGAGCGCAGCGCAGGCCGACAGGGCCGCCGGCGACCGTTTCACAGACCTGCTGCACAAATCCAAAACGCTTTACCTGCTCCGCGACTGCCTTCGGAGCGCTGAAGAGTTTCGGATCCCCGCGAATCTGTCGTGATTTATTATCGTTAATTTTCCAACGGTAGCACTACTGCGGCCTGTACATTGAGGATCCCCAAACGCTCTTTTCCAGGCCTGAGCCAATCACGGTGCTCGATTCGTTGCCTCAGCCAATCAGCGTACTCGTTTCTGAGCCTCAGCCAATCAGAATGCTCGTTGACAACAGCAGAGGGAGGGGTAGAGCGAACGCGCGGCACGCTTTTACGTCACCTCATATTACGATAACATTGCGCTTTCTTCCGAAATAAGTTACAGTGCAATTAGCGTGATGCTGTATGAATAGTTTACACGTTCAAACAAAACATGTACTGCAAATGTATTTTGGCTCCTTTTGATAACATAATAAAGCCCTTTCAGTTACTTGCCAAGCAAGGGAGGTTCCCTGGAATGAATAAGAAGGCTCTTCTGTTAGGTTTATTGCTGAAATTGATTTATTGATTTTCTGAGGCACTCCATTATCATTGCATACTCATATATTTCCAATTGTACTGGCTTAGTGCATATTTAAACCTAGACTATACAGGCATCACACTTCCAGCTGAAGTGAAAGTGTAGTAACTTCAAGCACTGAAGTAAGGAACAGTAGTAATGCACCGAGGCACATTGCTGTGATCTCCATTAAAATTAAATTAAAATTAAATTATTTTCTTCTCTGAGGTCAATTTTTGTGAAAACTATTGCTATGTCTTGACGATACAAAACAGACACATTTCTGGCTTTACAGAATACAACGATTCCTTCATCAAATTAAAAATTCTCACATTCTCCCCCCCCACAAATAAAAATAATATATCCTTCATTTCTAAAAATAGATAGACATGCAAAACCAACATCAGGTTACTCCACAGCATTTAGGAATTAAATTCCACACATTGTTTCACAAAAACAACAAGTATTACAGGACATCAAACCTTTTTCATTATTCAAGTTCTCATACTCCCCCATTCTCATGAAAATACAAGTATACTGATATCTGAAAATCAAGCAGATATTACAATTTGTTGTCGTCTTTGAACGCAAACTGTGTCCGATCCATTGTTCCTCTCGTTGTGGAGGCTCCGGTTTTAGGGATTTTTCTCTGCCATGTCTTTCTGAGGAAAACAGCTGAAGTTCTCAGTATTTCAGTAACAACCATCTTTCCAGGCCTCGTCAGCGACGGGAGCGCACGGTTTGCTCATTCCCAGTGATCTGCTACGGAGACACAGTAACCTCAGTCCCACAGAGCTTTCTCAATGGCTACCACTGCAGTCTATCTGGGGCGCGTCTCCCAAAAGCATCGTTAGCCAACTATGGTCGCACGTTCCGTCGTTACCAACATAGTTCAAGGATTCGGTGTTTCCCGAAACCATAGTTCAAACGAACATTCGCAAACTTACGTGCTTGAACTACAAGTCTCGAGCTGTGGTTAGAAGCATAGTTTCTTGTTAGTAAGACATATGGACTTCAATAAATTCTGCTCTTGGGCACAATAAGCAAGATAACATGCAGTACGATCTACACTACCGGTCAAAAGTTTGGGATCAGAGCGATTTTTAATGTGTTTTACAGGAGTTTCTTCTGCTCATCAAGGCTGCATTTATTTGATCAAAAATACAGGAAAAAATGTAATATTGTGAAATATTATTATGATGTAAAAAAGTTTTTCTGTTTTGATATACATTAAACTGTAATGTATTTCTGTGATGCGCAGCTGTATTTTCAGCGTCATTACTGCAGTCTTCAGTGTCACATGATCTTCAGAAATCATAATAATATGCTGATTTATTATCAGAATGATGATGGAAATTCAGCGCTGCATCACAGAAATAAATTATATTTTAAAGGATATTAAAATAGAAACCATTATTTTATATTGTAATAACATTTTGCAAGATTACTGTTTTTTTCTGTATTTTTGATCAAATAAATGCAGCCTTGATGAGCAGAAGAGACTTCTTTAAAAACATTACAAGTCTTACTGACCCCAAACTTTTGAGCGGTAGTGTATATATTCCATTCTATCTAAATATAAATGCATTTTAATCCATGTATTTTAGCACGTTCTCAATAAGTGCCATTTTTGAAGAGTGTGCATGTGCATAAACACCTAAGGGAACCCCAGAGTATGACGCAAGAGGAACCCCGCGATGAATCAAACATCAAATAAAGCAAAATGACAGGGAACAAAAAAAAATAGTAAATTAGTCATCAGGTGCCATGCTCAATACAGCAGCATCTTAGAGATGTCTAATCGGTTAAATAGCAGAAGTTATGACGTCATTAGTCAATGGCCCTATGTTGTTGAACGAATGTGGTTCAAACGACGGAGATGCGACGGTGTTCGGGACGTCATTAGTCAATGGCCCCATGTTGTTGAACGAATGTGGTTCAAACGACGGAGATGCGACGGTGTTCGGGAAACAGTCGTGACTCGCTAGTTCGTGGTTAATGAGCGAGTTGCGTCGCTGTACGGGAAACGCACCCCTGGCTGATCTCGACTCACCTCCTGGGCGTCTGTGGAAGTCTGCCTCTGGATGAAGGTGAAGCGGGTGTCAAGCCTCTTCCTGGCGTTTGCCGGGCGACAGCAGCGGAGTATGACGCCCCGTTGTTGGGACCGGGCGACTGCACCCTCCTCAGCCCTCCCTGGGCACTCGCTGGCCCTTTGACCTGCTGTCGCAGCGCAGACATCGAGCTGACGGGGCTCAGGGCTTTCATGGGAGTCCGCAGATAGAGAGGGGACTGGCCATCAGCCCTCATCCTCGCAGATGATACACCTACAAGAGCAGCCAATCACAAACACTCCTGTCAAATCCACAGCTATTACATTAATAGTCAAAATATACAAGACGATGTGTTTTACCCAACTGTCTAAATTTTACAAAAAGTGTAAGAGAGACTTTCACACTGACAAAAATCCAAGAAACGGGTTCAGAATCACAAGCCATTATTCTGCCCAGGCAAGCAGAAACCTGGCCCTTATTTTTAAAGATGTGTGCAGAACGATCCTAAATGGGTTTCCCAAATGCTCCTACAAATGATTTTGAAAATGTTCCTGAATGCATCCCTTTTTTGCAGTTATCTTAAATAGAAGCGCAACCATCTACAGAACACCCACAAAAATCCCTAATGGTTCAGAAGTACAGCACTGGGCAAGAAAACCGAGAGAGACACTTTTGGAAAATGTGTGTGTGTGTGTGTGTGTGTGAGAGAGAGAAAGAGATATTCCAGGAATTCACAAACATGATCTAAATCAGTGATGCAATTATGACAAAGCAGTTAATATGATTTGTGCCTTTAATAAATGCATATTTAACATGATTCTGTACATTTCTATTTCAATAATGTTGACTTATTTTAAATTTACTGGTATGAGCGCAAACAGTTTGTAAAAGTTTTCTTACGTGATGTGAAAAAGAACATTTTCACATCAGTTTTTTCCCTTAGTAAGCCTTGATCTGTTCCTCACTTTTGACCTGGACCATTGGAGGGAAACGTTGAGCTGGAGGATGTCTTGGTTGTGGTGAAATACTCAAGAAAAGCTGGATGCCATCTGATGAACAAGCTTCTGGCCAAGGCAACAGTCTCAAAGCGAGTGACTGAAGACGACATTCCCTGAGAAAAACCTTGGATAACAGAGGTTTGTAGGGACATTAAACGTCTTAATACCAAACAGGTCTCATCTACTCACTAGTCCACTTTTAGGAGTTTAAAGGCCAAAGTATACTTCTGTTTTTAGCAAGCGGCAACCTCCCGTGTGAGAGTTATGAGAGAGCCACAACTATAGTTTAAATTTTCATCGGTTATAACTTCTGGACAAAAACAGAGCAGACGCTGGAGAAAGACGACGCTTTCTAGAGCGCATGTGTCAACCACCTGGATTCACGTACACCTCAAATGGTCTATACTTTGAAAGGCTACGTGTACGACTGTGCGCGTACACTAGCGTACACGTAAAAAAAATGACGTATACTTGGGCCTTAATGCTGGTGACACTGAAGTCATGTGACTCTGGTGTTCTTTTATAGCCTACATTTAGCATTTTTACTTCTGGCAACTGTACTTAGGCTTCAAAATACATAAAAGTTGTGCTCATTTGTGAATACGGCTGGGTAAAAAAATATTGATTTCTTGATTTTAATCGATTGTCATTTTTACGAAACAATATCGATTCTTAAATCCCAAGAATCGATTATTCTAGCCTGTTTACAGTTAGCGAACGGAACATTGTAGCACACCTCCCATCCAATAAATCGCATTTTAATTCGCAAAGCTTCACGATTTGTTACTTTTGATATGAAAAAGTCTCAGATTTCACATTCTTACCATTTTATTACAGTATTCAAACAATAAATGCTTTTGGTTATTTATTAATGTGGAGCGAAAGATCGCTGTAGCGCCTCAGGTGCACGTGAACCGATCATCTCCTCCGCTTTAATGCAGTTACAGCGCAAAATAAACATGAATGAATATCTGAAGGTATGATAAAAGAAAGACTACACCTTGCTGAAATCCGTAGCCTGTCTCATGTAATCGCTCAATCAGTGTTTCAACCGACATCAATGTAACAGCTTGTAAACATATGTCATGTAACGTCACATTTACCTCAGAAAAAAACATATTCTGTGACCATAAACTCGTTAGTCAGATAGAGAAATTAACTCTAGAGAGGAGCATTTTGCTAAATATATGCACCATATAATATATTAACTATAATTTTTACTGTTCTTCAATGTTTATGTTTATTATCCGGTGACGCGCTGCAAAGCGACGGCCCGCTCTGCCCACTTTGGGCTTCAAAAAGGCTCTTCGGAACTCTACAGGTGACGTCACGGACACTACGTTCATGTTTTTATACAGTCTATGGTTTTTACGCATACGCGAAGGGTGCGTGTACAGTGTGCGTAATGCAAATAAGTATGTGCATTCTGTATGCGCACCATCCCATTTTTGTAACGGTGCGTAGTTTGTATGCACAGGTCACACATGCGCATTGCTTTGGTTTTGCACTAATCAGTTTTTCCACAAGGTGGCAGCACTGACCCGGGACGATATTTCACAGTAGAAAATGAAACAAAAAAGACAGAACAACAACAACAACAAAATAGCGGAGACTGCAACAACAACGGGTGACTGCACATTGACAAACGCTTGTGTGAGAGTTATGAGAGAGCCACAACTATAGTTTAAATACTGATCTATTATAGATCAGTGGGCGAGACCCTTTTGGGGTAGGGGCATGTTTGTTTTTGTGATTTCAAATGTCAACATTGGCTACCAGAAATCGCTTACCCCACCTTTAACTATGTGATGTAAATTTGAGACAAACTCAAACAGGTGCATTTTTGCCCCATATCTTGAATTTTAGGGATATTCTAACTGTTCTCTAGGCTTCATTACGCAGTGAGTTGTTGCTCTGCCTCATATTTGTCATCAAACTGTATGAAATGTCAGATGACCCACATAGGTCTGGGGCGGGGCTAGTGCGTTAAATGCGTTAACAGTTAGCGAACGGAACATTGTAGCACACCTCCCATCCAATAAATCGCATTTTAATTCGCAAAGCTTCACGATTTGTTACTTTTGATATGAAAAAGTCTCAGATTTCACATTCTTACCATTTTATTACAGTATTCAAACAATAAATGCTTTTGGTTATTTATTAATGTGGAGCGAAAGATCGCTGTAGCGCCTCAGGTGCACGTGAACCGATCATCTCCTCCGCTTTAATGCAGTTACAGCGCAAAATAAACATGAATGAATATCTGAAGGTATGATAAAAGAAAGACTACACCTTGCTGAAATCCGTAGCCTGTCTCATGTAATCGCTCAATCAGTGTTTCAACCGACATCAATGTAACAGCTTGTAAACATATGTCATGTAACGTCACATTTACCTCAGAAAAAAACATATTCTGTGACCATAAACTCGTTAGTCAGATAGAGAAATTAACTCTAGAGAGGAGCATTTTGCTAAATATATGCACCATATAATATATTAACTATAATTTTTACTGTTCTTCAATGTTTATGTTTGAATAAATCCATCATGTTTTTATGACAGCCACCATTTAAATGTTTAAACGAATTGGAGTAGAAATATAATTATTATGGCAAAATTTTAATCTAATTAATTACATGATGTGGCGATTAATTATTAGACAAATTAATCGCACATCAAATTTGGCTGAGAAATTACTCCCAAAAGATCATTTAAATTTAAAGAAGACATTACAAAAAGTAGCTTCAGCAAGAAATATTTTTGTTTAATAAAATTTATTACATATATTCTTTTAGACCATGAGGGTGAGTAAATGATGACACAATTGTCATTTTTGGGTGGGTGAACTATACCATTAATAACTTATTTTATAAATTTTATTATTTTTACTATGGAAATATGAAATTATTTCTTTAATGAAATGATACTCTAAATAATAAACTAAAACTGCAAACAGGTGCATTTTTGCCCCATATCTTGAATTTTAGGGATATTCTAACTGTTCTCTAGGCTTCATTACGCAGTGAGTTGTTGCTCTGCCTCATATTTGTCATCAAACTGTATGAAATGTCAGATGACCCACATAGGTCTGGGGCGGGGCTAGTGCGTTAAATGCGTTAATTTTAACGCGTTATTTTTTACCGTAATTAATTAATCTAATTAACGCGTTAAATTACCAGACCTAATAATTATGTAATGTTTACTATTATAAAAAATTTCATTGAGTGTAATTTAAGTATTTGTATATAAATCAGTTAATTTTAACCTTTAATATTATAGTAATGTAGTGCCAACTGACTTGTGTAAATTTTACAGTATTAGTTTAGAGATTTTTTTTCCTTGAAAAAATTTGCCATGTACTGTACCTGATATATCCAGAATAATCTACATTGAATTGAATCTAATCGAAAATCGAATTGAAAGCTTGTAAGTCAGAATCGAATAATGAAATCGGTGTCAAAACCCAGCCCTATTTGTGAAGATTATGCTGAACATGTGAGAATCATACATTTTTGTTGTTCACAGGGCCTATTTTCTACAATAATCCAGCAGCCCATGGAAAAATCCTTTTGATTTTTGTTGAGGGAACCAGGATGATGCTACTCTAAGTCTCCACCATGGATGGTTTGCTGAACGTTTGACGCATAAGGCACACAAAATGGGAAACACTTTTGGAGTTTCAAAGTCGTCATCTGATGGGATGAATTCTACAGGATTTCTAGGAGATGCGTGTCGCGTTCTTCAACGGTCCACCTGGAAATAAAACCGTTGTGACACCAAACCCCCTTCACAGAAGAAGAAAGCCGTCAATGTTTACAACTGTGAAAATGAGTGCATATCAGGATGAACTAAACACTGGATTTTCAGAAGTATGGGAATGTCACGGCACAGACTCTTGATGACCTGTATTGTCAGTTCAGCAATGGTTTAGAGTGAGGGAGTGATCAGACAGAAACCAGACACACACACACACACACACCTGTGCATGGGGCTGTGGACGCTGTGTGTTAAAGAGATAGTTCACCCAAAAATTAAAATTCTGTTAATTACTCACCCTCATGTCGTTCCAAACCCGTAAGACCTTCGTTTATCTTCGGAAAACAAATTAAGATATTTTTGAGGAAATCCGAGAGCTCTCTGACCCTGCTTTAGACAGCAACACAACTGCGATGTTCCCAGGTCCAGAAACGTAGCAAGGACATCGGTAAAACAGTCCATGTGTCATCAGGGGTTCAACCGTAATGTTATGAAGCCACAAGAATACTTTTTGTGTGAATTAAGTCGTTATTTTTTGTTTTCTTTGCACACAAAAAGTATTCTTGTAGCTTCGTAACATTACGGTTGAACCACTGATGACACATGGACAGTTTTACCGATGTCCATACGTTTCTGGACTTGGGAACATCGCCGTCGGGTTGCTGTCTAGAAACACTTTTGGAGTTTCAAAGTCGTCATCTGATGGGATGAATTCTACAGGATTTCTAGGAGATGCGTGTCGCGTTCTTCAACGGTCCACCTGGAAATAAAACCGTTGTGACACCAAACCCCCTTCACAGAAGAAGAAAGCCGTCAATGTTTACAACTGTGAAAATGAGTGCATATCAGGATGAACTAAACACTGGATATTCAGAAGTATGGGAATGTCACGGCACAGACTCTTGATGACCGAAGACAATGTTATTGTGGGTCTGTTATTGTAGGGACATGTACTTTACATTTTCAAACCCCAAAAAAATGACGCTGAACAAAGCTGTGATTGGCTGTGGCATGTCTGTCAGACGGCTGAAAGCTGCGATTGAGTCCAGACCCTTCTGCTGACACTAACTTCTGAGCTAGCCTACAATAATCCATCATTGCTGCAGGCTCTATTAAAGACATGATAGAGTGGCTCAAACTGCCAACAGGTTTTAGGAACAGACTAACGGCGTGAGAGAGAGAGAACAGATGGGACGGGAGGAGAAACTGACCCAGCAGTGTGTAGGATCTATGTCTCACAACAGACCCACCTACATGATGGAGACACACATCAAACCCGCACATTCCATGGAGGGTTTTCGAGGTTCGTCTCCCCAGCCATCTGCAGTCGTAAAACTCATGCCGGGTCAGTGAAGGTGAAGCATTTCCTGGACTGTTTGGCTATATCTCAAGATACGCTAAAAAGGACAGTACTTTCACGGTGCTTAAAAGCGTTTTACGGGCTTTCAAGGACCAGATAGAAATACCCTCATGACCAGTGGACGCATAAATTGCTAAACTCCGATCAACAAAAGAGACAATTTTATAGCTCCCTGTCCCGCAGGAGATTCTCCAGCAGACGCTCAGAGCAAACATGAGCGTGAACGAAGGACCCTTCCCTTTTCGTCCATGTGTCATCAGGGGTTCAACCGTAATGTTATGAAGCCACAAGAATACTTTTTGTGTGAATTAAGTCGTTATTTTTTGTTTTCTTTGCACACAAAAAGTATTCTTGTAGCTTCGTAACATTACGGTTGAACCACTGATGACACATGGACAGTTTTACCGATGTCCATACGTTTCTGGACCTGGGAACATCGCAGTTGTGTTGCTGTCTATAGCAGGGTCAGAGAGCTCTCGGATTTCCTCAAAAATATCTTAATTTGTTTTCCGAACATGAAGGTCTTACGGGTTTGGAAAGACATGAGGGTGAGTAATTAATGACTGCATTTGAATTTTTGGGTGAAGTATCCCTTTAAAGGCACATCATCATGGTCCTGAGGACTGAAGAGGGGTGAAGGTGAAGGAGCGGGGTACCAACCTGTGGGGGACTGGGGCAGATGGGACGTGCGGTTGCCTGAGCTCTGTAAGTTAGCCTCCATGCTGCGGCTGTTTCTGACTGCGTCCAGAGACTGCAGGCCGCTGCGCGGGGTCAGGTTAGGCATGCTGTGCCTGAGCTCCTCTGAAACCACACACACGGCCTGCTTAACACACTCACAACACTCACATGCTCAGTCCTCTCCTCTTCAGGTGAGTGCAATAAGCATTAAAGGGGTCGTATCATGCAAGGTCCACCTATAAGCTTTAGCCTTTATCCAGAGCCTTCATGACTTCTGAACATGTCTTCACATTAGTAACAGTGCTTTGTTGCGAGCTGCAGCTTTGCTGTCAGATCAGTCAATAACAGCATCTTCGCAAAGTTGTGCTTTTGTGCTGAAATGTGCCGCTCGAGGTGTCAAGATCAGACTGAAGTGATCAGGGACTTTCTTTCAGCTCCATTTTGTCATTAGTTCTTCTAGTATTTAGTAGAGGTGTAACGGTACACGTATCCGAGTACCAAATATTTTCAGTACGGGTCTTTCGGTTCGGTACGCATGTGTGCCGAACAAATACAGTGTAGCTTTAGCCACCACACAAGTGGAAATTCATTGGAAACTTTCAGTTTTATACATTGTTACTTTTGATAAGAAACAAAGTCTCATCTTTCAAATTCAAACAATAAGTGCCGTTTTGGCGCTCTTTGATGAGGCGAGACAGATCGCTGTATAAACGCCTCAGTCCCAACAGCAGCGTGATCATCCCTTCATCTCTAGGGCTGTGCAATTAATCGAAATACGGTTTCGATTTTGATTTCGGCCTCCGATGATTATGAAATTACAATAATCGAGATAAAACGATTATTGCGCCCCATTCCGCCCCCTTCCTTGCACTTTCACTCCTCCATAAAAGCCCAATTTCACGTGCAAATCAGTAAAATCATGTAACCTGACTTGCAAAATGTGACGTTTCTGATTTATTAATGTTGATTAGATTTATTCATGTTTTTGAAAGTGCAAACTTGCGCCGTCCCTCGGGAGGATTACGGTTGATGCGCTCAGAGACGGAACAGAACACGTACTGTAAAGTCAACTTTTAGCTAAACGGTCAAATGCACGCAAAAATGTGTCAAAATGCCGCGCTTAGTGATTATTCACGTAAACCCTCATCGGTTATGTAATAAACGTAAACAGTTGAGAATGAAAATACGTGTGTAAAGGCCCGTTCACACCAAGGACGATAACTATAAAGATAACGATAAAGATATAATCGTTCTCAGTATTAAAGAACAGCAGAGTCCACACCACAGCTATAACGATAAAGTGCTAAATAATCGTGATTACAATATTGACCAAAATAATCGTGATTATGATTTTTGTCATAATCGAGCAGCCCTAACTACTGGTTTTAAAAATCTCATTTAAAAACTACTTGTAAAATCTCATGCCTCAAGTAATCGCTCAAACAGTGTTTCAATCGCGGAAAGACGTCAATAAAACCGCTTGTGAACAAAATGTCACGTAGCATTTCATTTACCTCAGGCAAGTCTTCAGTGTCCACAGCTCGTTAGTTCGCAAGAGAAATGAAGTCTAGAGAGGAGCATTTCACAAAATATTACACTATAAACTCATATTTTACTTTACCTGTTAGTGATGTACATAAACTGACGGTCACCCCTGATAAGCTACTGCTAAATATTGTAGAAACTTAATTTTCTGTAAAGTTGCTTTGCAACGATTTGTATCGTTAAAAAGCGCTATACAAATAAACTTAAATTGAATTGATGTCTTATTTAATGTATGTTTAAATACATCTGTTATTAAACAAGTTATGACAGCCACTGTGTAAATGAATATATTTCAACAACAAATAGAAATTTTATAACTTCTGAGAAGTTAATCTAAAAACTGCATTAAGTGCAATTTACATGTTTGCAAACAATTTGAGTTGAGTGTTGATTATTATATTGAAAAATAAATAATAATTACATTTAAGTTTGGGCTTGGTTGTTATGTCCGTCTTATCGTAATGTAAAAGGGTTCACTATAGTTCAGAGCTGAGGTAGATTTTTATCCCTAAGAAAATTAATTAAAATTTAATTTATTTAAAGGAGGAGCAATTTGTACAGTAAACCATTGTTTAATTTAAAAAAAAAAAAAAAAAAGAAACAATTTTATGTTTTTTTTTTTTTTCCCTGCCATACCGAAGCCATACCTAACCGTGACGTCAAAACCGTCATGTTAGTGTACCGTTACACCCCTAGTGTTTAGGAATAATAATATCTATCCACCTCACCGCAAAGTTTCTCATCACCCAACAGGCAAGACTGCAGTTCTAATGAGCCTTTTTTTAGCTGAGGTTTAAGTCTTAGCTCAAGTTAGCCGAGTCTTTTTGGACAGGGGAGGAAGTTTTGAGTTCTGTAAGTTACAGCATGTTTTTAAAGTAAATTAAACTCTAATTTACTTCTGAGACTGTCATCTGATTTCCTATGATAAAGGGGTCATGAAATGGAGAATCAAAATGTCCTTGATATTTATACATAAGAGTTTTATATTGTAACAATTGTAACCAAAGTTAATATATTTTTGTAAAAGTTTTAATATTTAAAGGTTTGTTTGTCATGTGTTTCAATGAATTATACTTTCCAAAGGTGTAACAATGAATAAGTATTATAATTTATAATAACTGTGGGTACAATTATTCATGAGATCATATAATGCATTATAAGGCATAAGTAATACAAAACCTTTATAATGCATATTATATAAAGGCTTTAAGTGAACTGTTGCTAAATATTTCAATTAGAGTTTTAACATCAGTAATTTTCGTCAGGAATTTACTTGTGTTTCTGAAGGAGTTAATGCCCCTTGAAATTTGTGTTTTTGACAGAGATTAAAAATGAGGATGGAAAATTATCTTTTTTTTTTACTAATATGTGACCCTGGACCACAAAGCCAGTTATAAGCATCAATTTTTTTTAAAACTGAGATGTATACATCATCTGAAAACTGAATAAATAAGCTTTCCATTGATGTATGGTTTGTTAGGATAGGACAAGATTTGAAAATCTGGAATCTGAGGGTGCAAAAAAATCTGAATATTGAGAAAATCGCCTTTAAAGTTGTCCAAATGAAGTCCTTAGCAATGTGCGTCTTAAGACTGGTTTTGTGGTTCAGGGTCACATATTTGAAAGTTTTAGAGCAAAAAATGTCATTAGCTAACTTCAGAAACAATGTAAAGATCTGAAAACACATTGCATGCATGACCCCTTTACATGATAATTATTTGTTCTACAACACAGCATTAATGTTACTGGATGATCAGTGCATCCATTATTTAGTTCATCAATCAGCATCACAATCAATTCTGTTGAACAAGCAATTTGCCCTAACAAATTTGCCTTCGATTTCATGTGTGATGGACAGTGCCCTACCCTCGCTCTTGGGCCCCGGGCCCCGCAGCGAGCGGCGGGACATTCGTGGGCGGCGGGGCGAGCCGTGGGAGGAGGGCGAGTAGCGCTGGAGCCGCTGTGGCAGAGAGCAGCACTCGTCCTCCTCGTCCTCCTGACTGTAGGAGTCCAGCTCCTGGTCGCTGTAGGTGCCTCGACGCAGAGACTGCAGGGAGCCCGAGGAGCTGCGGCGCGAGGCCGAGGTAGAGGCGTAGTCATGCCGGAGACCTGAAAAACACCACCAAAGGTCAATAAAGGAAAATAAAGCTTAAAGCTGCAGTCCGGAACTTATTTTGGTTCAAAATGATCCGAAATCAATATTTGAGCAAGTACATAACCAGCCAGTGTTCAAAACTACCGCCTTACTTTAGCCTGATTCACAACGGTTAGCTTATAATACTGTTTTGTAATTTGAGTGGTACTGGTAGGAATTTGCGGGAAATTCGAGCATGGCACTGCGTCATTACGTCACGACTGTAAACATAAAGATTGAGTCCCGGCTAACAGGCTATATCGCACATGAGGATGCTGCAGGTGGATCATTAGTCTTTTCTCACAGCAGCTGGAATAATTATATTTATCATTTTGATGGCGGACTGTAATGCAGAAAGGATTATGTGTTTATGAAACACATGTGAATGAAATTAAATTATATTCCACTTTTAAATGTGCATCTGATTACAGATAGCCTGGGATTACACAAGATCTGTATTTTAAAGAGAACCAGTACGAAGGAAGAATAATTTGCCTTTTGGGTTAAAATAATTTCTTAATACGAAATTCGAATGGACTGAACAGAAATTGAAATCTACACGCTAATACACACTATATACACAGTCACGCAATGCTGATGTTGTTAACATTAACCATTTGAGAACAAAGTATAACAATAATAATAATTTGCATGGTTTGATGTGACATGAGCTAATTAACTGATCTTTAGATTTAATCACCATTGGTAGCGCGATTTATTGTAATGCTTTTTTACTCAGTTGGTCAGAACAAAAGTGGCAGACTTTTTACTTGTTCAGATTCTTATTTGGGTCATATATTCCAAGACATAGGCTAGAATCTGTGATTCCCAAGTACAGTATCCACACAAACATGGTTACAAAATGGTTTTTTTAATGGTTACAAAACATTAGATTCATTCGCGCTGGAGCCGTGCACAACCCACGTAAAGATGATCATTCTGCAAATAACTGCAATTGCAGGTTTTCAAACAGAGATGGCGACAAAGAGGCAAGACTTACGGACTGCAGCTTTAATGTGAAACTGCAGATGGTGCAACATCAGTATCATTATTACAAGTCAAAGCAAACTTGAATGTTAAATATTAAAGCCTTGATGTTGGTATGATACTGATGTATTTAGATTATTTGAGTATTTAGGTGTATCTCCGCTTTGGCACAAGTTAGGGCTGTCAAATAAAAATTCGAATTTCGAATATTCATCGAATTTAAAATAAAAATCCACGTTCCAATGCAAAAACGTTGCATTCGAATTTGAGGTGTGCGTCAGGCAGCCTTATCAGTGGCGCACGAGATGCGATGACGATGTAAGTGTCGTTGCATTTTAATGTTTTTCATAGCTTATCCAGTTGAAAGCACTAGATGCGGCGCTGCTGTGTTGTTCACTCAAAATATTGTGGAAAAAGAGAACATCAATGCGGAGATTATGTTGTTTACGTCAAAACTGAAACCAAGCCGTTCACACAGAACGCATATCTCATTTTCTAGAGGGACATCTATCACCGTTGCACTCGCGTCTCGCACAAGAGAGCCGCATGTTTAGAAAACCATGTAAAATTAATGTAAGTTCAACTTTTAAAAAAACATGTCTCAAAACTTTATGGCGGTTTTTCCCCATCCCACTGCATCTCATGCTTTTAAATGAAAAAAGTACTCTTTGTGATTGGTTTTCAGTCCTTTGTATTAAACTATGCATACATACATGATGCTGTTTTGTTTATATTTGTTTAAGCAACTGAATTAATTATAATTGGTTTATAAACATTATTTGAAACATTATGCACTTTTTTT